TTGGCTTGTTTAGTTAACACTCGAAGGTGATTGGGCTCTCGGGCGAGATCCCAATTCGTCAGTCACGACTGACATAACGTCGAACGTGACTGACTGAAAGGGAACTTGGAGTTCCCTGGTGAAATTTTTAAAATATTTAAGCAGTAATATATACAATATAAGCAGTATATCAACAGTTAATCAGTCTTGTTTGATGCATTTTATGTATATTAAAACGTTAATAATAATGAAAGATTGTGCTTGATAAATAATTGATCAAGGATTTTTGGTTTTGTCTTTATGAAATCAGGACAGTATCATTTTGTAATTTTTGACTTTAATTTTAACATAGAAATTAAAAGCATGTTCATCATCCAGTAGAAGTGCAATCAAGTCTCTATATGTCTGAATTTTATATATATTTTTTTTTTTTTTAGCACATTTATAGGATAGAAAGATGAGTGTCATATCATAGACCACCTAACCAGAGCACAAATCAGTTTAACAGCTGGTAAACATTTGTTGTAGACTTTGTGGGTAGAAATAAAAATTCAAGCCCATCTTACCTCGTATCATGCATAAAGAGATAAGAAGTTTATAAATTGGCTCTGTCATCAAAAAATCCTGTGCAGTATACTGTAGTTTTATTTCACTAACGGTAGTAACTGCAGGACTGTTTAAGTGAACATGTATAGGATAATTAATGGAGAGCTGCTCTTATGTTTAGAGTAGATTGGATGGAGTGATGAAGTTGGTTCTGATACTCTTTATAGGAGTAATGAACTGCTTCGATAAAGCAGTTTATTGTGCTTATAAAGAGTAATTATGACCGTATTTTGTTTAAGTGTTGACTTTCAGCATGTCTTCCTCGATTTTTCTGTCAGAATGCATCTGTGACAAGCTGCGGCTATGCTATTTACATTTATATTTACATTTAGTCATTTAGCAGACGCTTTTATCCAAAGCGACTTACAATTGGGGAAAAAATGTGTAAAAAAATGTAAAATTAAACATTGCAACCAACTTTGGAACTCAACTAAAATTGAGTCATAGAATACTAGATGTTAGATAAGAAGGGCACATAAACATCTCGCATCTCTGATTTTAGTGTTGAAATTGCGTTTTTGGGTATTTTAAGACTTCTAGGTCATTGAATTTTCTTCTTGGTTTCGTTCTCTTTCACATGGCAACATTTGAAAGTGTACAAACATGTGTTTATTCAAGTCACATGCAAGTAAAACTGTCCTCTCATTGGTCAGAGTGCATCTGTTTATGTTTCTCATCGCAAGATGGATTGACAAGTTAGCTAAATAAGTTACTAAGTTAGCTAATTTTGTATTTTATCGGTTAAAGTGGGAATTAAGGAAATAAGAACATTGAGACAACAAACAACAAACCAAACTAAGAAAATGTGACAAGGTTCCGATTTACAAAACAAATGCTCCACATGAGCCAGGAGTGAAACAGCATAAAACTCCACACCAAATTTTAAAATCGGCATGAAATGGAAGTTGCAATAATCTTTTTGCCTTATTATGGCATCCAAGTGATACGAGTTCTCAAAAAAAAAACAAAAAAAAAAACAAGTAGGACGGGACTAAATTTAGTCTATTGGAAATTGATGGGATTGTTTTTGTTTCTACAATGTGACTCACATGATGCTGAAGGGAAGATTATTGTCCTGCCTTCACGTTGGTGAATACATCATGAGAGATTTTGATTAAAGATTGACCCTTTTCACATTCCTGGGGTCATAAACTCCACTACACCAAAACTACAACTAAAATAATTTTTGTATTCTCATTTGCACCAATAATGTCTATGACTTTCCAAAAGATGCAAAATGCAAAATCAAAGGGGTCCATGCTGCCTTAAAGATGAAATATGAGCCTTTAATTCATCCACTTTGGAAAAAAATGTACACCTCTATACACTGGAGAAAATAGATTAGGTACTATATGGATTACTATGTTTATATGTTGGATTGTTACATGTTGGATTATTATAGGCCTATGGATTATTATATGTTTACTTTAAATTTCTGCAGAGAAAAGTAGCCTATTATTTTTACCCAGAATAGTATGGAATGAACATTACTGAAATTACAAATGTAATTTCTGTTTCATTCATACTGAAAGCCAGAGAGTGCCCTTGCACAACTCAACATATGCATTGCAGAAAGAACCAAGCATAGGTCTTTGCAGGAAAGTAATGGGAGTTACTATACCAAATCAGTGGGCGAGGCCAAAACAGAGGGGCGTTTTCGACCATGTTACCTAATTGGCTGACGTCATAGTGACAGGGAAGGGGGATCATTTTCATTGCATGATTTAGAAACTCCCAGCAGTTGTAAAACACCCACAAAGTTAGAAACGCCCATGTTTGCTCTGCAGAGACCTCAATCTTGAAAGAAGTAAGGAATAATTGACGACGGGCTGTTTAATTATTAGAAAATAATACACACCCGTGGAGGTGATGCAGTCTCTACTAATAACGAAACTGTAAATTAATCTGCTTCAAGAACAGCGCTGTTATTATCTCGCTAGAGAGAAATATTATGTAGCTTTTAAGTTTCTAATCTAAACCATTTACTGAAAAAATTGTCAGCGCAGTACTGACAAAATGTTTCTGTGCACGTGTATGTTTCTGTGTGTGCGAGTTTGTGTCTGTACTCTATGTGTGTGCGTTTGTATTGGAGAGAGAGCGGGAGAAGGAAAGTATGTGCTTTAAAATGTGCTATAAAATGTAATTTTGTAGCAAAACCATGGAAATAATATAACTTATACTACGGGGCTGTTGAATGACTAAATCTGATTGCTTGAGGAACGTTCTAATGTGTGCAATTATTTTCAGGGAAATACACGGCTAGTAGCTCCAGGCAGGTCTTGATCACATTACAGGCATTACATGCCGATTTCGCCAAACAATTTCAGTTATTTCAAAGGTCCTTACTATGTGAATAGTTTGTGTACTAAGTAAAACCCAAGATATTATGTAATACATTGACATTTAGTCATTTAGCAGACACTTTTATCCAAAGCGACTAACAAATGAGGACAATAGAAGCAATCAAAACTAACAAAAGAGCAACAATATGTAAGTGCACTTTATTTCTGCATGAGTAAAAAAATAAATGAAGAAAAAAATGATATACATTTTTTAATTTGAGTTGATTTGACATTATAAAACTGACCCAGGATCTGTTAAAACCATTATAAAAGCAGTGTTTCGAAAGTGCCAATCACTGACCAACGATAAGTGTGTGTGAATATGACAAGTTTTGATTTAGTGTTGTCTTTCAGAAGAGTAATTTGTGTGTGTGTTTTACCTTTTGGTGCTGTAACAGCGGTGATGTTTTTCTGTGTTATAACAGTGGTGACTCTTTCTCTTCTTCTTGTAGCTGGATCTGGAGTTGTGCTCAAACTGTCTATAGATTTTACAGTGCTTGCATGTAATGTAGATGCATTGCCAACAGGTGGAGCAGAAGAGCTGCCAGTGAGAGGAGTGGGATGGCTGGTGTGTTTGGGTTGTAAGGTTGTCAGAGTGGCATTTGGTTTCACTGTGCTGGCTAGGAAGTGACCAGATTCTGATGTAGACACAGTGGTATCAGTGCTCCATGAGCTGGTCCCATTGGAGGTAAAGCTGCTCAGATGTTTGGTGGTCCTTACTGGAAAATTAGTTGTCATTCCTTCAGCAGAAATCATTATGGAAGGAAAAATGAAATATATAAAGAATGTATATTAAGAAATATTACATTTACATACTACAATACATATTACAATAATAATACAAACTTACATAGGTCAAGTGATTTGGAAAAAGGATTATTATATTAATTATATTATATTATATTATATATTATATATTATATTATATTATATTATTAGTATTGCATTAGACTACAATAAAACTAGACCTTAAAAGCTGTATGGAAGTGAAACAGTATTGGGAAGTTTGTGGTGTGAGTTTGCACAATGATAGCCCACCCTAAAAAATCATCACATGGATTTGTAATTTTAGACAGTTAATACACAACAAATGTTTTATTAAAACAATACTGCTTTAATATTTCATTTCAATCTTTTAATATTTCACGATCTTACCCTCATCCACTTATACTGCAAGTACTGTGAAGCTTTTACGATACAAGAAATCGCCACATCCTCACCAGCGCTGACGTTTAAAGGGCTGCTTGTGTTACACTCAATGCCATCAAGAACTGTTTGGAAAACCAGGAATTATTTTATATGGATTTGTTTATTTCTAAGAGCTTTTATTCGACAGACAATGATAAAAAATCATTCAAAAACCTTTTTAGGTGCAATTGATTTATATTCTCAGTACAAACACTCACAATTCACAGTCAGTTCGACGGTGGCATTGAGACCTTGCAGATTTGGGACTAACGAGTCCCATTCAGGTAAACAGATGTACACATCGCTGTCGTTTCTGGTGACATGTGGTAAAATGAACTCTCCGTTTGAGCTTTCCAGCCAAAATATCTTGTTCTGATGAGACGAATGAGATCAACACAACAGTTATAAACTGTGGCATATAGAAATGTGTATTTTTCCATCTGACTCACCTTTGAACGTCTCAGTTTATAACGGAGTGGTGGAGGGATCGCTGAACAAGTTATTTTCATATCATCCCCCTCTTTTATGAATCCATATGGATATGGCATCTTCACTGATGCTGGAGGCTCTGAAATTAGCAGACAGATGATGCTTATTTGATTTTAAATGTGAAATCAGGTTACAGTAAACAGTTTACCTGCGAATTGCAGCGTTGTGGTTCTGTTAATCGAGCCAATAGGATAGGAAGTAATTTCACAAATATAGTTTCCACTGTCATTCACTGTAACTTTATACAGGGTCAGGATTGAGCCTTGCAGCTTCCCAGTTTTTGAACTAGTAACTGTCTCCAGAAGAGGACCAGATTTAAAAAAATGTGTTGGGAACCCAGGATGGAACACAACAATCTTCTGATCGTTCTTCTCATTTCCTTTTTGCTGTTTAATCCATTCCACCTGGATAATTGTGATGCCATGCTCCTCTCCCACAATGCACTGCAGGCTGACGTTCTGTCCCTCCACAGCAGTTGCGATCGCATTATAATTTATGAGAACTCCGTATGTTCCTGATAAACCAATTTCAAAAGTGATAGATTACTTCATTGATATTCTAAAATATGTGTTATTGACAAGGTTTTACCAAGTGTAATTTGAAGTATAATTATATGTCCTTTGGGTCATAGAGACCTTAGTGAATAGGTCCGTTAAAACGTTAAAATAGTTTACAAAATATTTTTCAAGATAAAAAGTATTTATTTATTTTTACAAATGCCATTAATCACTGACCCATAAATATCATTACATTTAGGGGTGTCGCACCTCATGACATCTTACAGCCTGAGCTAACCTTGCCTTGTGAGGAAAAGATCACATTGTCTGATATTTTAAGAGATATATTGACCTTGACAGTCATGAGGGTAATTTCAGGATGTTTCTGCTTGATTGGGCCACAAGATTTCTTAACATTAATAAGCAGTGAAACAGTTTTGTTAAAAGATTAACAGTTTTGTTAAAAGATTATGCTTGATAAATACTTAAGTTCTTTTTTCAATAATTATTTTTTTAATGATGATTTTGTCTTTATTATGAAATCAGAACAGTTGCATCACACTGTCCCTTTTGTCTTTTTTATTTTAACATAAATTATAAACATGCTCATCATAGGATTATCTGTTAAATCACTATGTGTGAACTGCATTTTGAATGCTTTTTTTTTTTTTTTTAGTAAATAATAGATACTACATAAAGATGAGTGTCATGTCATAGAGTGTCTGTCTAACCACAGCACAGATCAGTAAAAAAGATAATAAACATTTTCTTTGTGGGTAGAAATAAAAATCCAAGCCCCTCTTACCTCGTATCATGCATAAAAAGATAAGAAGTTTATAAGTTGACTCTGTCATCAAAAAATCCATATCTGTGAGAACAACAGTCTTAACAGAGAGAGTCAAACATAAGCAGCAGCAGAAGCACAGGAAATGAGCTACACCACCACTTCTCTAGTCTTGTCTGTCTGAACCAACAGTTGCTTGGTTTCGCTTAAGCTGTGAAGTGCAGTCCCCCCCCCCAAGTGAACAGCAGAGGATACCTAATGGAGAGTTGCTGTTATGTTTAGAGTAGATTGGTGATGGAGTTGGTCCTGATACACTTTATAAGCACAATGAACTGCTTCAACAGGTAATTATGACCTTATTTTCTTATGTTGGCAGTCAAGTGTTGACAGTCAGCATGTCTTCCTCGATTTCCTGTCAGAATGCATCTATTTAACAAGCTGCGGCCACGTTTACACAGACAGACAGACAGACAGACAGACGCACACACACACACACACACATCAAGATCAAGATCACGTGAAATTTTAAAGCCCCTACAGGCTTGTTTGTGGATATTATTGGCCAAAGTCCCCTGGCCAAATGAACATTTAACTTCTTTTTTTGGTATTTCTTATTGTATTATAGAATTTACTGTTAATTTACATCTTAAATGAGACGTGACAGGAAACTACAGTGGGGAGAGTGTGAATGCTCAGTTTAACAAATAAGGACATCTCAACCTACTTCAGGAGCAGGCGTGGGAGTCACAGAATACTAGTAATGACGTTACATAATCAGAATACATAATTAGGGACACATTGATGTTAAAATTTTGGTCAATGAATATTTTTAAGTTATGGCCAATATTAAAATTCTAGGCTACTTTGTCTAAATAACTGAAAATAAAACTAGTAACGACATTACGTAATCAAAATACTTTCACCAATTCACCGAAATTAAAATTCTTACTGATAATTTTCACATTATGGCTGATATTAAAATGCTAAGCTGTTTTATTAGGAATAGGAATAAATAGGAACACAACGATATAAAATTTCTAGCCAATAATTACTTTCATGTTATGGCCGATATTAAAATTATATACTATTTCGTCTAAATAAATGAAAAATAAAACATTAAACCTAACACTGAGTAATGATATTAGATAATCAGGATCAATATACGGAATGCACTTATATTAAAATTCTGGTAGATAAGCTGATAATTACTTTAATGTTATGGCTGATATTAAAATTATATACAAATTTGTCTATAAATAAAAAAATGAAACACTAAAAACTAAAGTGTTAAATGCTTGAAATCAATTTAGGCTTTGCAGCATTATAAAGCACAGTGAATGAATGGATATTAATTTTGAGATTTGCTAAAGATTACATTTATTAAAAGTGCTTTTAAAGAGTGTTAGATGATGGCAAGGGTAATCTAAATGTAAAAGTAGGGGGAAAGAGCACAATTAAAAATCCAATATGGATCAGTAATTAAAAAAAATAAAAATATTGGCAGATTATCATGCATCCCTATTTTTAAGTAAGAATTTACTAGAACTGCCATCAAAAGAGCAAAAAAAACCTCAGCTTTGTTTGATTTAATCTCAAAGATGTCTCACACTTCTGAACTAACTACCTATTACCCAGATATTCACATGCATTCGCATGTGCCATTTCCATTCCTCACAGCCTCTGGGGTCTGAAGCTCATAATCATTGTATTGTAGAAAAAGATCAAAATCACATACTATCAAATAATAATGAAGCAATGAGTGCTGTAAATGGGGAGGGAATTGATGGCTCTATTCGATTCTTTTGGAGGGGATATAAGGGACGTTAATAGATCCATGAACGTGGCAGCTGATAGCAGCGTAGGGAGATATAAGCTGTAAAATATAAAATCAAAGCAGCATCTTGGTAATTATGAGGAAATGTGACAAAGAATACAGGGGACACGTGTACTTTAATATAGACATAAGAGTATTTAGAGAGACAGGCTGGATGATACAGAATAGCAAATATGAATAGATCTGTATAAAAGATCTGTTGTCCTCAAGTCAAATTCCTTCAGAAGGTCAGGATCCGCTGTCATCTGTAGCCTAATATTTGCCTGTCAAAAGAACACACATTTGAGACATTGTATTCTGCCAAAGGACTAAAATATCATCTTTCATTATAGGACTCAGTGAGCAAAGCATTTGATTCAGAAATCGAGTAAGTGTCTGATGTAATCCATATACATAACCTCTAAAAACTGTGCTTGTGTGTGTGTGTCTGTATGCCTGCCTCTGAGGCAAAGACTCGGGGAGAAATTCAGTGAGGCTGAATATCATAAATGCAGCCTGCATCATTTTAATGAATAATTTGATGAATAAAATCAGGTAATCAGGCAGTCATGCACAAAATATTCTTGCTTGTCGTTATCAGCAATGACATGAATGACAGAAATTGCACCCAGACAAGGGCAGTGAAACAAATGACGTTCTGATGTAAGTTTCATCAGATGTTCAAAAAGGAACAATCACTCCGAATACACAAAATCATGTTAAGCTTCGCTATAATGAGGCTTCAAAATGGGTTTCAGTGAGTTCACCAGACTGTCTCTTATCTTTAGCTATGCTACGATATGTGCTTGTACCCTAGTGGTTCTCATCTCAAAACCTCCCACAATATCCTATCAGAATATCCCCCTTTTCCAGTGCGTGATCATAAACATGTCCATTACATGTGCATATCTTGTTCGAGCTGATCAAAATAGTTTTTATTGACCTGTTTGTGTTTTCCTAAGCTAGCAGGCCAAGCTGTTAGCTTGCTAACTGAAGGCTAACTGAAAACAAACAAAGGGAAATATTTTGACATCTTAGAGACAAAGGCTATTGCAGATGAGCAAATACTCTAAAACTATATATCTTTAAAATCAAATAGACATCTCTGTGATGTAGGCTATGTGTGTCCCTTACAAAAATTAACCATGGTTTTATTATAGTAAAAGTGTAGTAACCATGTTTTTGTGGTGGATTGATTACCATTTGTATAACAACAGTTTTACTACAAATACCATGATTAAACTATGGTTAGTGTAGAAAAACCATTTGGTAAAATCATGGTTCAATTTTGTAAGGGTCAGGGAAGCTGTTAGCTTGTTTATTTACACTAAGCTGTTAGTTTGGTTACTGAATAAAAGGAAAAGTTTAATTGATCCATTTTAGATTATGTAATATAATGTGTTTTTTATTTATTTTTGGTGTTTTTTTTCTTTTATTAGGATAGGACAGTATGTAGACAGGAAGCGAAGTGGGAAAAAGAAAGGGTGGGGGGCAGCATCGGAAAAGATCCGCGAGCCAGGACTCAAACTCGGAACGCCTGAAGTACAATGGCGCTATATGTTGGCACGCTGCCCACTAGGCTACTGCCACCAACATAATATGATTTGTGATATGTCATTTAGACATTAATATATTTTGATTATGAATAAATACACTGTAAAGCAATTTTCTATCATTAAGCACCAAATAGAGTACATCAGGCACCAAGCTGTCCAACTGACCCTCATTGCGATTTTAATTTCAATGACCCAGGTGTGACATTTTAGGGTTTCTAGAACATCTCCATTGTATGGCATTATGTATTCACTTGTATATTGTTAGGACAGGGTGTACAGGGCTGTTCATTGCAGTCTATCATTTATTTTTTAATCTAGCACACAATCAATGCACCCACAACCCCAGTAATGTTAGTCCAGTGCCTCTAATAGGATCTCTATTAGTGTTATGTAAAGACGATTGAAAGTGACCTTTTCCTTTCTCAGAGAAAAATTTGTCGCACATAAGCAACACGTGTTCTTTTGATCATTGTCTCATTAGAACACACATTATCATCAACACATTGAGTGGATGAAATTACGGCAGCTAAATTCAGGTTGGTAAATAACAGTGTGATATAAGCAGGGTACGAAATATTAAATGAATATTTCTTACTATGCATGAGATGTTTTTTTACACTAATTTTGTAAGGATGTATTTATTTATTTATTAAAAACATTTAGTAGTGATGTTATGTTGCTGTTTCTGTTTGCTTTACATTATTTTTTATAAATATTTATTTATAAAGAAAAGTCATGTAGTATGTATGTATTTATTAATAAATAAATACAAATCTTATATCACAGTTTTTGTCTCTTTTACATTTATAAAAATAATTATTGGTTATTTATTCATTTATGAAAAACCGCTCATTATGTTGGACTTTGTAATAAAGTTACAGGCCAACTAGTTTTATTTCCTATGCAAAGGCCATTTTTAATTCCATTCGGAATCATGAGCATTCTATTGGAATAATGTTTAAAGGCTTGACAGACCAGTGGATTCTAAACAACTCATATCTAGGGCAAAGATGCAGTCCATCACGCGCTCATGTTTATTTGTTATCTTTAGACAGGATGTTGTGGTGTCTTGGGTGAAAGATGCTGAGTCTCTATCCATCAGAGAGGTCAGGCTGCAGAATAAGGCTTGTCTCCTGGAGCAGAAATGAAATGGTTTAAGTGGTTTGCTTAAGGGCACGCTAGCGGTACACAGTGGCCATCTCAATGAGATGTCACAGAACTAGCATGCCGGCAGCGATGCTCAAACTCCCGACCTTCTGGATGGCAGCCCACTACTTCCTGTTCTTCTATAGTACAGTGACATTATCAACCCAGTACTTTTAGGAGTATGACTGAGAGCTGAGAAGCTCGACACTGCTTCAGATCTGCACTGGCAACTGTGATCTCAGACAGGTCAATGATGGAGAGTTACGAAATGTTCCAAAATGCTTTTTGTCCTCTGATCTCCACCACCAGTTGCTGTTCTCATCCATTTTTTGTGCCCACATTCTGTTGGGCTTGCTCTGTGGAGATTTATTCCAACCAGAATTCATTTGCTCTGACTGTGAATTCTGTCAGCTTAGCGCAAAAGACATTCTTTTTTTTATCCTAAAGGGATAGTTAACCCAAGAATTAATTACTTAATCATCTTTGCGTAAGTCCATATAATAACATTAATATGATACATGTATTATGCATAAAATGTGTGTATATAGTTATGCATAATATAAGCATCATTTAACATTATTAACTGGGATTATATAGTAGTAGTAGTAGCAATAATAATAATAATAATAACTATTATT